CATCCAGGGAAATAAATCTCCAAAAGTCACCAACTTGGAGTGTTTCAGTTTGCCATCTTAGGGAGAAATCAACACACATGGGTGTATGTCCTTTGTTGCTGAGATTTATTGATAAAAACAGTACAAAAAATCAACCATTTGTACACATTTTTACAAATAATTATAAAAAGTGAGTGAGTACATTTCAACATTTTCAGCAATCACTCACAATCCTGGCACTGCCATGGTATCTGTAGTCTGCATTTACCACATGTGTATCTGTTGCAGTGAACACATCGCACAGTGGCATGATTGTTCTTGCAATTGTGTTTGACCTGACACATGGCTCTTTTTCCAGGGCTCGGTGTGGAGGGTTGTGTCAAAGGCAACTGTTCTTTTCTTGCCTTCTTCGCAGCTACATGAGAGTGAGCTAACTCCCTTGCAAGCTCCACCAGGAAGTCCACCCGTCTTTCCTTCGTCCCGGAGCATGCTTGATACAGCACATGTGCATTCAGTGCTGCCATGTCAATCATGTTATAAAACACGGCAACTGGCCAGCGCCGTGTTCCTCTGCGGACAGTGTACTCCCGAACCATCTGGTCCATCACATCCACGCCACACTTTGTTTTGTTGTAAAGGGTGACAGTGTTTGGCTTCCTTTTGGTAGTGTTATCAGTCTGAACCACGCCGTGCATGCTGCTAAGAATATAGACTGTCTTCTTCCGTTTGGCCGCATACGCCGTCAGCGTGGCAGCAGAGGTTGAAAACACCTAAGAAATAAGATAAATTGTTATTTCCATAGCACTTTTACACACAATGAAACACATAAACATAGAACCACAAAAGACCTGCAACATACCTGAGTGGTGAATTCATTGCGATCTGTCTGTCTAGTGGATTGAGGAATTTCCCTGCGAATCTTGTTGACTGTGCCGAGGATGGTGGTTTTCCGTCTAAGAAGTTTTTGCGCAAGTGAAAGCGATGTGAAAAAATTGTCCGTGGTAACATTTCTGCCCTTGTCTAGGAATGGTTCCATCAGCCTCATTACTACATTTTCAGAAAGTCTCTCCCCAGTGGGACAACTGGGGTCCTTGCCAAGATATGGGAAGACATTGCAAATGTACTTGGATTTTAGGTCGCAAGCCACCCAAAACTTGATCCCAAACTTGTCCGGCTTACTTGCAATATACTGCAGGAAACTGCACCGAGTCTTTGATGGGAAAAGCTGTTCATCAACGGTGATATGTAGACCAGGGTTGTAGCACGTGATGCAGTTGGTGACAAATGATCCCCACAAACTGGAAATTGCAGCGAACTTATCAGTCTTTGCTCGATCACTGCGGGTGGACTTGTCATCAAAGCGTAGGTGTTGCATGATTTCTTGGAAGCGGTTTCGTGCCATAGTTCCAATTATCTGTGGGTTTCCCAGGTTTGCTGACCAGCAGTCATTTAGAGATGGAACCCTGGTAACCCCCCGCAAGATGACAATTGCAATAAATGCCATTAGTTCAGGGAGGTCCATGAACCAATGAACATGCTCCGTTTGCTGTGCATGTTGAACAGTCCATTCTTGAATGCTACGAAGCATGTCAAGAGTGATGAAACACAGGAAGCTCCGAAGGCGACTCGTGATATTTCTCCTGGCCTTAGCCGTTGGCTCTCCATCTGCAGCGTACGCTTCTATTGGGGTGAAAGGGAGACAGGTCCCCACCTGTTCTTCACGCCACACTGTGCCATCTTTCGCTGTCTCAGTCCCCAAACAAGCTCTCTTTTTAGGTGCAGAAGCAGTCTCCTCATCTGCAGTGTGAACAAATTCAAATTGTGAGCAATGGGAAGGTCCAGTATCTCCTCCTCTGTATCAGAATAATGTCTGAAATATCTTACTTACAAACTACATCCACTTACTTATTTGAAATGAAATAGGAAATAACATGAAATGCAACTAACCGGAAGACTGATCAGACAGCTCTGAGTCCGAATCCGGCTGAACTTGTAGGTCTTCTCCATCCGAGTCACAAGGGTCGACTTCCCTCAGGATCATTTCCAAGGCCTGCTGAGTGGTGAGTCTTCTCTGCATTTTCTTTCCTTGGAGAGGAGGTCCGTACACCACAGAATTCTTCAGGGCAATGAAGGATTAGGCTAAGTGTAGTGAGATTGTATCATATATATAGGGCTTGGCTTCCTGATCAATGCTCCACTACCAAAAGGAAGCCAAGCCCTGCCACCCTTTACAACAAAACAAGGTGTGATCACAGGGCTTGGCTTCCTTTTGGTAGTGGACAATTGATCAGGAAGCCAAGCCAAGGTAAATGCAGACTACAGATACCATGGCAGTGCCAGGATTGTGAGTGATTGCTGAAAATGTTGAAATGTACTCACTCACTTTTTATAATTATTTGTAAAAATGTGTACAAATGGTTGATTTTTTGTACTGTTTTTATCAATAAATGTCAGCAACAAAGGACATACACCCATGTGTGTTGATTTCTCCCTAAGATGGCAAACTGAAACACTCCAAGTTGGTGACTTTTGGAGATTTGCTTCCCTGGATGATTGAGAATGCATCAAGATGAAACACAAAAGGAAGCTCACCGCTTTTAGCAGCTCCCCCACCCCCTCATCCACACACCCCCACTCCCCTCCCTCCAGAATTCCCAGGTAACAACCCAATTTACATATGAATGACTAGCCAATTTAGCTTCCACTTGCCTGAAGCTAAAGCTTAGCTAAAAGCCTACCAGCCATTTGGCTGGTGGCGGGTTTTAAAGGTAGAAAGGTAGAAGCCTGGGACTGCCAGTGCTAGCATCCTGGAGCACTTCTGTTGTCGTTTGTACGTGCTTCGGAGTTTGTACGCGCTTCAGAGTTTGTACGTGCTTCGTCTGTAGGGGCCACCGTAAATATACTTTTATTTACTCCACATACAGTATGTTTATATATAAATATATGCGGTGGCCCCTAGAGACAAAACACGTACAAACTCCAAAACACATTTCTAGCATGAACTGAACTTCCAAAACAGAGCTACCTAGATCACCTAAATTACACAATTGAAAGCATGAAAGCATATGTGTATTGTTTGTGTATTTATACACAAACGTGCTTCGTCTGTAGGGGCCACCTTAAATATACTTTTATTTACTCCACATAAAATGTAATAAATAAATCATATAATACAAAAATCAACTATTCACATTTCAACTTTTAACTATTTAAATTTTCAGCTTTTTCCTTTTACAAATTTAAAGTGAAACAACACAAAACCCTGCAAACCACAACACAATTAAATATGAATTATAATATGAAAACAAAAAGAAGCTGCATATTCTCTGTCATATGGTCCTGCATGAATAAACTTTCTGAATCCTTTATCATCTGCAACTGAAAATAGTTGTGGATGATTACTATACCTTTTTAATGTGACGTTGTTGTCCCTGGCTCTTTCTCTGTCTTTCCCTCCCGCTCTGTTCCTGTGCTACTGAGTGTAACTACACCCCCCCCCCCCCTCCTCCCCCTTCCCAGCGTAAAGCATAAGGCTCGCATGCTGAGTGAAGCGGAAAAAAAGTGCGAGAGAGAGGGTGAGAGAAAGAAGAAGAAAAAAAAACACGGCCCGCGATAAGGAGCCGGCTCGCGTCATTCACGTCAAAGACCCGGCTCTAAGAGCCATTTCGTTCGCGACCGACCCATCACTAGAATACGCAGTTCTACAGTATGGGGATATTTTAACAGAAAAGGAAGTGACTCAGTCGTTTGCCAGCTTTGTAAGGTGGAAATGGCCTATCATAAAAGCATGACAGCTATGCACCAGGACCTCAAACGCATCCAGGAGCAGCTTCTGCAACGGACAAACCGTCAATACAAGTCAAATAATGGGGAAATAATCAGTAATCGAATCAAATCAAAATATAATTGGATTGAAAAATTAATCGTTAGATTCATCGATGCATCGAAAAATCAATCGCTAGATTCATCGATTAAGAAAATAATCGTTTTGCCCAGCCCTATTTGCAGGCTCTCTCAAGGTCCCACTGAGGCATTTCAATCAGGTTCAGTTCAGAACTTTGACTGGGCCATTGTAGCATCTTGATTATTTTCTTTTTCAGCCATTCTAGTGTAACGTTGCTGCTATGCTTGGTGTTATTGCCCTCTTCAACATTATGCACTCCACACTGTATATAAATGCCACTTGTTCTGCACATATTCAACTCTGTATATTTTATATATTTTATTATTATTATTATTTATTTATTTTTATTTTTTATTTTATTTTTTTACTATTTAATTTGTAAAAATGTGTATACACACACACGCACACGCACACACACACACACACACACACACACACACACACACACACACACACGTAGGAAAATATTTAGTATACACATCCAGAAATGCATACACTATTATATATTGTACATATATTTATTAGTTTCAGGTTGGCCATTCTTGTATTTTGCTCGTTTGTGTTGTTGTGTTTGCACATCTCTGTTGCTTGTGGGGCTCGCACATAAGAATTTCACTCGCATGTGCTGTGCCAGTGTGCCTGCACATGTGATGTGACAATAAAAGTGATTTGATTTGATCTTGCACGGCCCAGTTTTGGCCAAGCTTTAGTTGGCCGACAGACAGCCTCACATTTGACTCTAGGATTCTGTGGTATACAGGAGTTCATGGTCGACTCCGTGACTGCAATCTAAACCATCACCGATCCACCACCGTGCTAACAGTTGGCATGAAATGTTTGTACTGAGATGCTGTGTTTGTGTTTTGCCAAATTTGGCGCTGCTCTTTAGGCCACACCTCTCCACTTTAGTCTTGTCTGTCCAAAAAACATTGTTCCAGAAGTCTTGTGGTTTGTTCAGATGCAACTTTGTAAGCCTAAGCTGTGCTTTCATGTTCTTTTTAAAGAGACAGTACAAATATTAATACAGCTTCACTATAAAGAAACAGACAGACAACAAACAGAACAGTAAGCTGTTAAATTAAAACTGACACTGCCGTCTCTGTTGCTCTTCCTTCAGTCTTTGCTGCTGATTCGTCAGGAGATGGTGGTTTCCCAGAAGCAGCTTGGTGAGTTCTGTGAGGCTCTGAAGCAGTACCTGAAGAACGTCTCCGCTCAGAGAGACTGCTTTCAGTAAGTTTCACTCATATTTTTACAAGTGCTGTGCTGCGGAGAGGAGCACTGTAACGAGTATGATTTTAAATATTTAATGCGTTCCATTTTCAGTGTCAGGACCTCACTGTTTTTCACACTTAAGTGCTCCCTCAAATATTCTCTCCTTTGATCTTTGATTGTATCTCTGGTTCTGAATGTTCTAGGTCATAGGTGTCAAACTCTGGCCCGCGGGCCAAATTTGGCCCGCAGCCTAATAACATTTGGCCCGCGAAGCCATGCCAAATTACTATTAGAGCTGGCCTACTGGTATTATACAGCTAATATATATATTGTTTAGTATTAAGCTTTGCTTGTTCCATATTCAGTTTTTCAGCAAAACGTGTTTGAGTCCATAAGAAAAGATTCATTCTTATATCTGGAGGAAGATTTTTTTTTTCAATAAATATTAATGTTAGCCCACGACTTTGTTCCAGTTTTGAATTTTGGCCCACTGTGTATTTGAGTTTGACACCCCTGTTCTAGGTCATACACCAGAGGTTCAGCTCTCACAGAGTGCCTTTATGAAATCATTGCTTTGAACTCCCAGGTGTTCATAGTAATACTGTGCTGCACAGCTCATGTGTACTCAGTTTATAATATTGTACCTGTATAAAGTCTGATATACCCGTGCTGTAACTGATACAGACCTGCCGTCCATATCTCTTTGAACCTTGGGGTGCTGTGAAACGGACTGTAATATCCACTGCGATTTTTCCAATCCCGGCTTAATATACAGTATGCATAGTTTATAGCAGTGTTCTGCATATGTCCTTGGCAAAGCTTAAAGGTTCTGACTGTGGTGCATTACATTTTCTGCTACCAGTTACTGCAGTCTGCACTGAACGGGGCTGCAGCATGGATGAAGGAGGTGTTAATCTTAACAGCTAAATGTAGCAGAGAATCCTTATTGTTAGCAGCAATAATACTGGGAGTCATTCAAGACTAATATTATAATTAATTTCCCAACTTAAACTGAGAGAGTTGAGAGAGTGCAAAGCTGGTTGATAATCATCTTCTTTTTCTCAATAGGAGTGATCCCCTCACAGATATTCAACACTGCCATTTGCTCCATATATAAAGTCAATGATCATAGCAGCTTTAAGAGCTGCTCATCTGATTGTAGCGCAGGAGCAAGTGGAACTGATGAGCAGGATCGATAGGCAAGCAAACTAACAATTCCAAAGAATTGTTACTGGGAACCAGTTCTCTACTAGAACCATTCCTACATCTAACCGAAGTGCTGTTTATAACTGCAATTGTTTAATGTACTTCCAACTTATCACCAGATGTTTTGCACCAGGATCAGACATAAAAAAGATGTTAAATGCACCTCTAAAACCCAAACTGCTGTTTGATCAGGTTCCTGTCACATCTACATATCATACACCAGACTAATTCCAGACAAGTTCTTGAACTATAGGGAATGAATATCCCTCACAGTAATCATTAAACTAAAAAGATATGTCAATGTGACTAGGTAATATGCCTTCAAATAAGTCTGTTCACTCACTAATGTAGCTACAGACAAGGTTCTTTGGTATTTTAAGGGCTTTGACATTCATAATAAACAGCATTTTGAAGTTTGACTAGTGGTTTGGCAGTTTGATGCTGTTGGTTTTATTTTCTGCAGCCTGCCTTTGCCGACTGGGGAGGGTAACCCTGACCGAGTTTGAGCAAGAAAGAAAAAAAATCTGCAAAACACACTAACAGACTGCTGAAGGTTTCTGTGCTGAAAAAAGATAAACATAGTAAAAAAAAAAATGTGATGCATAATAGTCAAATGAATTGTGTAAAAGCACCTGAAGATGGATATGTTAAATCTTGTCCTTGTGCCTTGTTGCTCTGAACATCGTAGCATTCTTTTGTTGTATTCTAAGAATTAGTTATGCTATTATCCCATCATGTCCTTCAAAGTCTGTAGGAGCTTTAACAACCTGACAGAACAAACCTTACTTAAGTCACACCTTCTCATGAAGGACAAGTCCTAATTGCAATCAATAAAAAGCACACATGGCTAAAAGGAAAAACAGGTGCAGCAGTAAGGTAGGTTTGTTGTCATTGCCAGATTGCATTTTGTGGTATATTTTTTATTTTATAATAAATGTGGGAGCAGCACAGTAATTGTAGGTATCTTAATATAAATAATGCAGCAAGGTTTTCAGATGGAAGCTTGCACATTATCTGTGCAAAGACTTCTGTCTTTTTCTGTCTCTGGTGTGCCACTGAATGCCTTTTTTCCTCCTTTGTCAGTTTTTAATTTCATCGTTGCCTAACTGTAATATATAAACTTTATTTAGTCTCTGCTGTCCTTGCTCATTATCATTTGATGTTTGGTTGTGATTAGAAGCACAAATTCTATTAAATCCTCCAGCAGAGCTCAGACAATTCAAGTTATTTCTTCTGACACCCTATAAAGATTTAACAGGCAGCAGCTCCTGTCCCTCAGTGCCCTCTACAGGTTTAGAGCAGACCTGCAGACACACACACACACATAACAGTAATGTCTTTTCACACTGCTGGTAGCCTGCATGTACAGCCGGCAATAAAAGCAGGTTAGGTTACAGAAAATATTGGAAGAAGGGAGATGGTATTGTGATTGTCTGAAAATTGTGCTTGAATGGGAAGAATATACAGAAGATTATTTATCAACTAAAAGTCAGTGGAACCATGGCCGTGGTTATTTTGAGGTAAAAAAGAAAACATACTACCACTAATCAGAGTCATATGGAGTGTTCTCTTAAAATAATCACCTTATGAACAACTTGTACACTCTGTCTCTGAAAAACAGATGGGTAAAGGCTTGGGCCCTATGCAGGGGTTATCAATAGAGATCAGAGTAACTGAGGCAGCTCAGATGGTGCAAAGACCATTGCTTAATGCCACTCCGATGGAAAGTGTCCAAGAAAAAAAAAAGAGGGGGAAAAAGTTGCTCAGTCTTTGGCACAAAATTCCAGATAAAGAACAAGAATCTTGGGAGCACCAGCTTTGATTAGATATGACTAAGATAAATGTGTTTGGCTGAAAGGAATCCCACATGCTGGGCATGAATCTGGCCTGGGCCACCACAGTGAAGGATGGAGCTGAGACTGTGATCATATAGTGGCTGCATGAGACAAAAAATAGATCATGTTTATAAGAGATTTCCTATTGCAAAAAATATGAACGGACCATATGACTGCCTTTAGAAGTTTAGCAAAAGAGGACTCTTCCAGGGTGATAATGACATAAAGCACATTGCTAAACAGTGTGTATATATACACCTTATTTTGTGTGTGTGTGTGTGTATATATATATATATATATATATATATATTAAATATATATATATATATATTAAATATATATATATATATATATATATATATATATATATATATATATATATATTAAAAATATATATATATATATATATATATAAATATATCTATCAAGCTCCAGTCCTCGAGGGCTGGTGTCCTGCAACTTTTCCATGTGTCCCTGTTGCAATAAACCTGAATAATATTAGAACTTGACTGCATGCTGAGGTGGCAATTTAGCCATTTGATTTATGTTACAGCAGCTGAGTGAATGAACATGGTGCAATAAAAGTACTTTTAGAAGTACATTTTTTCCAAACACTTACATTTACTTGAGTAAGGTTAGGGGTTGCCACTTCAGCATGCTGTCAAGTTCTATACTCTTGCAAATGACCTACTAATTTTATTCAGGTGTGTTGCAACAGGGACACATGGACACTTGCAGGACACCGGCCCTCGAGTTTGAGACCCCTGAGGTAAAGCATCTGATAAAAGTAGTTTAAAGTCAGTCATGTATGATAACTACAAAAAAAGAGAAGTAATTTTGTCTGCTGACATCACCCAAAATACTATCTTATTTCTTTAAGTCATTGATGTAGCTCGGAATCAGAGTTATAATCCAACTACTTTGAGCATATAGATTCTACTGAGCAGTATACTGACTTCTGTATCTGTCACGGTCCTGAGTCTGATCACTGTTTTTTGTTTTGATTAATACTAACTTGTGTTTGGTTTAATTCTGGTTATGCCTCTTGAGGTTTTCTAGTTCTTACGTTTTGGTTCCTGTTTTATTTTGATAGTCCTGCTCTGTGTTCCCCACCTCGTCTGCCCAATTAGTCCCAGCTGTTTCCCTGCTGTCTCCCATTCCCTGATTTATCCGATGTGTATTTTAGTCCTCTGTCGTCCCTGTTTTGTTGTCGAGCTGTCCCTCGTAGCTGTGTGGTTTTCCTGTGCTCCGTGTTCCCTTGTAACTCCTAGTTTCCTGTTCCCTAGTCTTAATTTCAGGTTTTCCAGTTTAGGTTTTATTTTGTCGTCTTCTAGTGTTTTAAAGCAAACTAAAGCTGCCTTTTTGAGTTCATCCCTGTGTGTACCGAGTCCTGCATTTGGTTCTTTCTCCTGCCTGCCACACAGCGAATCACAACAGCATCATCTTTTTAGTTTTTGCTAAGCTCTGAGCTCGCACTATGAAAATTGGAATCCTTGAAAGGTAAAATTAAAATCATGCCGGTCCTGAGACTAACCCCGAGCAGGCAGACGTGCAAGTGTAATTTCACGCAGAAATTGCACCGCACAGAGTGATCTGCTCAAACAAGTCAACAGCTGCTTGATTTCAGAGCCAGAAAATTACCAAGAGGCACAAGTGCATATAATGGACCAAAGAAAATTGCTGGCATTAACAGCACCGAGTCTTTGAGTCGTTTTCTGCTTTTGTTTCTAAACCTAATTCCATTTGGGACGTTATATTGTTGGTCAAATGGGCAAATGTTAGGCATATAAAAACACATTAACATGTCGACATGTCCATAACATGTTCCACTTTTACCATTGAAGCCTTTAAATGCGGCGCTTGCTGTGAAAACTGAGTTACGCTGTTAGCCAAGTGTGACAAAGTTCCCATGTGCACATTCACCCTCCTTTGGAATACATACGGAGGAGCCCGAGTTCATTACAGCAAAGTGTACCATCCAAAATGTCTCCATAACATCCCACATAATAACCTCTGTGCATTGATGATCACACTCTGATAGATCTTATTTGCTATTCTTGGTGTTAAGTGCAGTGACATCAATAAAGTCCGAGATGCGATTTTCTGAAATATAAACTGTTATCTCGTGTCTGCTTTGTCTCCTTTACAAATGTATCCTTAATGTGCACTGCTTCACCGTTCTCTATCATGAATCCAACGTCTCTCACCCGTCACTTTCCATATCACCTTCTGTCCACTTTCATCCTCTCATTCCCATTTTCCTCTGCCTCTGCTCCAGTGTGACTGCAGTGCGTCTGCCAGATGGTTTATCCTTTGTCGTCTATGAGTTCTGGGATGGCGAGGAGGAGTGGAAGAGGTGAGTTTTAATCGTTTTTGGCTCCAATTTTATTCTTAATCCTGAGCTCTATCCGTCACATGTGCCAGTATTAAGAACTTTTCATTTTCCGAACCCAGGCTCCAACCATTGATCCAAAGCAACTGACAGAATGAAGCATCTGTAAACACGGAGAACAGCCTCAAAGTGATTCATTCCCCGTGCTGATCCACTTTGAAAGCATTAAAAGTCATTACTGAGCGCAGACATTCATATTGTTTAGGATATTGCCTTTGAGTCAGCACTCTTGGTCCCCTGAAAGTGTTTTGGAGCTGAGCACGCCGTTCCTTCTTATCCCTGTTCTAATTGATTGGTGATCACCCAATAAAAGGAGCTCTCACTTTTCTTCTATTACTGCCGTGAGCCTGTTTGAAAAAAATCCTCCAACATTTAATTAACATTGTTCAGCCATTCACGTGCTCCAGAGTTGCTGAATCACTCAAGTTGCTTCAGGTCATTGTGATTTAGTAATGGTTCTGGGCACAAGGAGAGGCTGCTGATGTAGTTGCCTGCTGATCCAAGTTTCTGCTCCACTGCTCACAGCATCTCCCCACCATTAATATTTCAAATCTTACAGTAAAGGCTAAGGGCCGTGCAAAGTGATTAGAGTCCATGTGTGCTTTTGAGAGGCTGTGTGCAAAGTCAAGACAGATGTGTGCATACAGAAATGCTGTGTGTCATTTAGTGTGTGCATGCTCTCCTCTGATTCCAGGCACCTCCAGTCGGCTCCCAACAAAGCCTTTCAGCATGTGAAGGTGGATACACTGTGCCAGCCGGAGGCTGTGTCCTCTGTAGCCGTGCCAGGTCAGTGGTAAAACAGTACAACTAGAGAATAAAACAAAAGCAGTGTGACGCTGCAGCTGAAATGTCCTCCAAACCATTTGTGGATTGGGACCAATGACCAGAACGATATCTGGATTTGAAATACTTTGTGATATTTTCTCGAGAACACAAAGAAGACAAGACAAAGTTTCCTTTTTCTCTGATTTTTACACATTTGAAGTAAAATTGCCAAGTTTTTCCTCTTTTGCAGTGATAAATAATCCTTTCAGATACTTACAAGCCTGCTTGTACAATATTACAGTTACATGTAAGAAAGGTCAATCTTTGTTGCCTGTAATGTTTGTTTGTCAATTTATTTCGATCATGTAAACAATAAACAGGTACATTTAGCAAAGAAAATAAGAGAGAAAAAAATACTTCACAAAATAAAGTTAATACATTTCAATATTGCTTCTGTTCTGATTCAGTTACATGTCGAAAGGGAGTGGGAAGAAGTACACGCCTATTTAATCCCACCCCTTCGCCATAAGTTATCAGTTAATATTTAGTCAGCTTCCTTACTGATATAATCTGTAATAGAAATAACAAACAGATTTCTGATATATACACTATATAATATCACATCATGAAATGTTTCATGAAATTACACATTTTCCCTTTCTTTATAGTTCAAGAAGATCTTTATAACTCTTTTTGAATTGTTTTATGTTTGGACATTGCTTCAATTCCATATTCAAACTGTTCCACAGTTTCACTCCATGCACAGAAACACAAAAGCTTTTTCTTGTAGTATGTACCTTCCCTATTTTGAAGTTACAAAAACCTATGCAAACTGTGAACTCAGTATATGGACTGTGCGCAGTCTGATGTGCCAGCCGACATTGGGCACACAGAAATATGCAGTTTTAGGAACCCCACATTCTTCCACTTGGTCTCAAAATAATTCTGCAGCATGACAATGACTCCAAACATAAAGGCAGAGACATTAAAGTACTACAGCAGATGGTATGGCCCCCACTGAGCTCTGACCTCAACAGTATAAAGTCAGTTTACATAAAGAGACCGAAAAAAAAGTTCAGGAACAACCTTCCTACCACAGAGAACGGAGGATGACTTAAAGACAAACAGTGGGAACATCAAAATATTTTTTGGTATCATTACAAGATTAATAAATAAATCTAAATCTGCCATTATGATTATTGATGAATCCTCATTTTGTCTTGTATGTCTAGAACATCAGAGAAATATACTGATTTAAGTTCACAGAAGGTCATGTCATAGTCGGAGGTTATGTCTAAATACAGTTTAATATAATTCATATACAGAATGTTATTTCTGCATGGTTGTTAGTTGTGGTGCATTAAAAAAAATACACTACCAATTTTCATCGAACTAGTTACTCCTTTAAATTTTCATGAACATTTACATCAGATTCTTTCTGATCAACTTGGATCCAAAATCTGTTTCTTGGGGTTCCTGAGCAGTTGCTGACTTACCCTAGTAGTAGAATTATCAGTAGTGCAGGTGATACTGAGATAACACAATATGTGCTAATATTACTATAAAGGTGTGATGCAATAGTACACAGTTGCAGAGCAAGTGTTCTATATAATGCTGAGAAAGTGATTAGTTTGTTCAACAACCCTGGATGTGTTATGTAAAATTTATAGGCATTATCTACAGAAACCTGGCTTTGGAATCTGCTTCATCCAAAACAACTGATGCTGGCAGGCATCCCTGCGCCGAGTCGCAGACTGTCAGTGACCCAGCTGATACTTGGCTGACTGCCTGTTTTATTGTCTAGTAATCACTTTTTTGTCCATTTCTCTTCTTGGCGCTCTTCTTTCCCCCACGCCTGTTCTGCTTTCTTCTCATTTCCATTCAATCCATTTTTTTTGCTCACTCTCCACATTGTTTTTTCACTCTGAGGCACGCTTTCTTTAAAAACTCCTTCCTTTCGAACCTTTTTCTCACTCGTCATCCCTCTTTCTATTTGCAGCCGTCTGGTGCAGCGTGAACAGGGACTGAGCATGAAGATATTCGACTACACGCCAAGACTCCTGACACTCCTCACTTCTTTAACTCCTTCCCCTCCAGCCCTAAAACCTTTTTTTCTCCTCTGTTTCACCCACCCCAATCCCCACAACCCCCAAACTCCCTCAACTCTTTTTGTAAGTACATGTTTACATAGTGCAAATGAATGGTGTCAACTGCGGTGAAAATTGAACAAACAGTGCATTTTACAACGTGAGATTACTAAAACATGTTTGCATCTCATCATGGTAGTTTGCTGGATTTCAAGATTGTGGATTACTTCATGTACATGTTTCTAATAGCTTTGAGCCACTGTAAGGTGGAGATTGTCATGTAGCAAGGACCCCGAAGGTTGAGTTTTCCATGTAGCAGCTTTTCAGTAGTCAGTTTGGGAATGCAGCTGATCACCACAGATAGCTCATCTGTGTAGCTGTCACTTTATAGTAGCTGCTTATTATATCTGTGAATATATCGCAGACTTTTGTTTATTTATTTATTTCATAACTGACCAAATTACCCTCGCATCAGCCATGACATTAAAATGAAGACTCGAAATACCTAGTTGACAGATTAGTTTGCGTTCTCAGGAAAACGGAGAAGTCTTTAGCTAGCTGTCCTCTCTTATGGATGTTATTTACCCAAAGCCATTTAAATATGACATTTAGCCTAGAATTTTATCTGGGAAAGTGAACACTGGCTCTGAATAAACAAGTGATTTTAATATGAGAGAAGAACCACTGAAGGGTAGAATAATGCGGTCATTTTACTGTACAGTTCCAGCTGTTCACCAGTTCATGAATAGGAAAGAAACAGATGTGCTATTATAGAGCAGTGGTTCCAGTAGTAACTTTAAATCCTCACATAACAATCAGTAGATGACCCCATAAGGCCACCTTTTAAGGTTAATAATCTTATAATGACCAAGTATATTTTATCTCCTCCATAATTTTCCGATTTTGTTGCCTTCGTTTGTTCTGTTCACTCTCTTAATCTCTTTTACATTCACTCTGTATACAATGGCTGTTCTGAGGGTAATGTCTCTGATGGTTTACTGGCTGTTACACGGTACTGTTTCTTTAAAGCACAGCTAATCCCTGTGAAGAATGATGTCGTTTTAACCTGGCACCAGTAGAAGAAGGCCAGCTGATGTCAGTTCTTCTCAAGGATTTGCATGTGTAGATGCTAACACAAATTCCCGCTGGTGTTTTTCGGTGTAGTTTTATTTTAACTAAACACATTTAAGGGATAGTTTCTGACGCGACACGCCCGCTACCTTGAGAAAGCGACTGCTTAGAGAGACAGGCAGCACCTCAGTGTTCTCCATGCAGATAAACACGGTTTGATTTTTGCCTTCTGTTCATGCATTCCTTGTCTGAATTGGTGATGGGTTGCTTATATTAGCTGTGTAAGTCTAGTGGAGATTGTACATATGAAAATGTTGTTCTGTTATGATTATATTTGCCTTTACTGACATCTTTTAGTGCTATGGTACAAATCTTATCCTCAGTGAAAGTGGCAGTAGCTTCACAGGTGCTGCAGCTTCTCTAACCTGTTTGTTTGAATCCAAATAGCTACCATCCGAAACAGATATATGAAGAACACTGAATATAAAGCCTTAAACATCACCACATGGTTGAGCAGGTAAAGGATTTTAAAAGGCAACTTCTTTTTGATGCATTTTAAATTCCCTGTAAGCAGAGAATTCCCCACTTTCGGTGTAGACATCAGATTGTGTTTCATTAATATATGACATTATTACCACGATGACAGGTCTATTCAGCTATTGAACATCACTGAAAGAATAGCCTTGAATTTGAAATAAACCTTCACAACACTTGGCATACTGTAGCAGTTAGATGAACCACCTCGGCATTAATATCTCGAACACGTGATCACATGTATTGCCACTACTGAACCCACCTTTAAGTGCAAAAAAGTCAATGAACAGGAGGATATTATGGAAAGTTACAGCTCTTGCAAATTCCAGGACATCAGGGTGAAATGGAGGACGGACATATTCGACCTTTACATTAAAACCCAGATGAGCTTATTATTCGGACGTGACATCAACGATATTGTTCGGTAAAGTCTGAAAACCGGCTGAGTTCAGTCTTCACTGCACATCAGCCCACACACACTGTCAAACAATCAGATTAAAAAAAGCACAATGTAAAAATGAGTGAATATTGTGACTTAAGCATAGTAGAGTATATTAGAGGTCAATGAGTATGATGAGAGTATGTAGAGATATATTACTGTCTAACTGGGTAAAGACTTGTTAATGAATCACTGCTCCGTTACAGCATTATTCTTTCAAAGGTGCCATCTTGCCATCCACCTCACTGTTGAGTCTATTCTCTCTTCACCTGTGAAGACAGCGAGTCTGTCATCTGCTGGCACTGTGGTGGCAGTGAGCGGGGATCCAGCTACACTGACACTAATGTTGATTGTTACCTACTTTTAGAACTCCGGGCTGCGCTCAGCGGGGCATGACTGTGTGACACGTGGAAGTGTTGAACATTATTACATATATGGTAACAGAAATATGTATAACAATAGGCTTGTAGAACAGGCATGCAAAAGCAGTATTGCATTATCTGTGAAAATGTATTTACCAACCTGTGAGTGTCTCTTTTAAAGGTACCCTGTGGAAGTTTGGACCACTAACAGCATTAAAGAGCAGAGATTTCACAAATATAGCAATGAATGTGTTAAACAGTGTATGATTTGGGCTATAAAGAGATCTGCTTTGTTTTATAAGGAAGAAAGCAGCGTAAGAGGGACTATTGCTGTGCCACTTATCATCTAACTTGTTGTTTTGAAATGGTCCAACTAAAATGAAATTTGCAGGGTTTAAGAATAAATCTAGGTGCTAATCTGGACCTGATAAAGTTTCAAAACCAAGTCTTTCAGAGGAATTCAGCAATGCAGTGACTTCTGCAATTATCTGACTTCTGAAATTAAAGTATCAAAACCTTAAGTAACTAAGTAGAGACTAAGTTGCAAAATACAAAAAGTACATTGATCATGAGATGTGTCTGTCGGTTCTCCGTCATGCAAGTTAAGGTAGCCTTGAAAGCTTGAAAAGAAGACCACTTAAACACTTAAAGTACCTTGAGGTGGTCAGGTTTGACTTGATCTGTTAATACAGCCTGTATAGTGTATGCAGTTACTACATTAACCCCACAAGGTGAAAGGTTACCCAATAACCACCTGCTTAATATTAAAACCACAATACTTTGACAAGAAAACTTCACAGGGTACATTTAACCTCTCACTTGTTGGAACAAAAACCCCAACATATACATATATATCTCAAACTCCAATCCTATTTGCGTTCAAGAAGGAGCTACTGTATTCTCAATACAAACAAAGCCATATTGCATGGATTAGTGTTTACATATAAGTGATTTACTATACTGATAGCCATAGATTTACAGTACTCAAGCCTGGCTGAGTGCAACCCACATGTTCTAATTAAGGGATCTCCCTTTGTGTACATTGTGCCCAGCTTGGCTGGGTTGTGTATATGAGATCGATAGTAAGTGAATGGTCAGAAACACCAGTACTGTTTCCTGTTGATACATTCCTGAATGTCCCTCAGACTGTGCAACCTGTTCTTTTTCTATCCTCCTACTTCTCAGTGCAACCCGTGCTTCGTCATACAATGAAAGAGTTATGCCACTGAAATGTACTGAAGCATGGCTGAGCAGAACGTTTCCTGGTAACATTGTGAAAAGACGGCAGAGGACCTACAACATGTTGAGATCAGGCCTTCTGTAGGCGTGGATTAGTTTATGTAATTGTTGTGATACTGGTAAACAGGAAACATGTCACCTGGTTTACCTCAAGAAACCTAACATAGACACCATAAACGTGACACCATAGACTATACATAAAAGATGGTCATAGCCACCATGATGTCACCAATCGGTTCTTGCCTGTGGCTCTATGATGCCAGCCAGACTCCTTTCCTTCCTCCTGCAAGTGCATGATGGGATGCAGGCCTGATTCACAGAATCGCTCAATTCAGTTAGTTCACCTTAAACACAATAGCTAGCCAGTGCCAGTCTTTTCACCCAAGGCAAACACTCAAAAAACTAAAGTCATGAGAGAATGGCATTAACCACAATGTTGGTCTTCGGTTTTTAAGATGGGTTCTTAAAAATGATATCCTGAAGGTCATCAACAAGTTTTAGGCATATGCAGTGCAGCATTTGTCTCCACCCTGCTCTGCAGATACATCAGACAGAATGTATTCCACGAACCTGGAGCTCCTCTATCTAGATCCTTTGTAAAACCAACTCAACCTGGCCCTAAAGGCACAGAGTAGGAAATACAATCTGCATGGGTGATCATGACCTACCCTACCATCACAAGTATTGCAAACCAAAGAAGCACTTTAAGCTCTACACAAATGACCTCCTTAGCCATTGCAATATATACCCCAACTACTCTGAACCACTAGCAACCTTTGCTATGGTGACTGAACAAACACCTTAAAAAGAACTTCCCAAGAACACCAGAGTGCAGCTGGCATGAACCCAATATTTGGCTTCCCTTGCAAGGTAGAACCAAGTCTCATTATCTGAGATTTCTATATAAAGACTGCTCCCTTTGCCGTCACTCAAGACATGCAGGCTACATCCATCTTTTATTTAGAGTCTATCCAAGAGAACAAGCCAATCAGTAATTTGCCAAACTGACCGACATCATGGCCATAACTCTTCCTTTCTATGGCTGTGTTCTTTTCTATTCTTCAACTGAGTGCATGTCAACTGAATGTCCAGTAACTTCTTTGCTGTAGTATTAGGCAATGCTACTCAATGGGTTTTGTGCATTTCTTACCTTCTTTGTTTTCTAGTATTCCTATGAAAGAGACAGAGACTTAAATCTATTATATAAAATATATGACTAGAAAAATGGCATTCAAGAATGAACATAACTTTTATGGCAATGTTTAATTAAATATTAATTCTTAATGTATGTTTCAGTAAAAAAAAAAAAAAAGCTTTCTCTTCTTAAGTGTAGAGACTTATTGCAGGGATGCAAGTATTATATTTGGTCTTTAAAGAATATCTTGTTGAAATTCTAGATGATGTAGAGTGATGCAATTCAATAAAACTATAAAACTGAAAACTGTGCTGTATGGCTTTGATATTAAATGCTGCTGGTTATTGGGAATTGTGCTTTTTCTTTTCCTTCCTGTGTAAATGTTGTGGCAGATGTGTGATTTGAACTTTGAGCCATAATATGGTAATGTTCAGTCTGCATGCACACTACAAAAAATAAATTATTATGGGTTTATCTGGTGTGAAACCTATAATGTGGTAAATGTTTCCCTAGCATGTGCTCCAGAATAGCTTTACTCAGAAATACGTTGGACACAAAAACTTAACACTGGTGTTATACATCAATCATACAGAACAAGCATAGCACTACATTAGCTAATCAGCAAAAATGTCCATCAATGTCTACGTACAACTCTCAACTCAGTGCAAAGTAGTATTTAGACACCATTTAATCACAAGTCATTATCTCTCTTTTTTCCCACAGTGTGCGTTTTGTACTGTCTTCCTCCCATTACCGCCCCCCCAGTCACGGCCGCCCCTCCCTGATCCTGATCCTGCCGAAAGGTTTCTTCCTGTTAAAAGGGAATTTTTCCTTCCCACTGTTGCCAAGTGCTTGCTTAATAAAGGGGGTCGTCTGATTTTTTGGGGGTTTAAAGCACCTTGATGTACTGCTGTTGTGATTTGGCACTATATAAATAAAATTAAATTGAACTGAATCCCAACAGGACACCAGACGTAAAACCTTGTAGAGCTATTCAGCAGTGCTGTTGAGCAAGTTAATTATAAAGTTAAATATTCATGAGGTAAGCCATTAAATTAGTAAAATAAAACTGCAGACCAGTAGATCACTGGGGGGAAAACTGAGCATGCTTCTACCAGTTGGTGAGTGGCTGCAGGAGATGGTTTACTCTTCCTTGCTCACAGTTTTGGATGCTGAACCCATAACATCCTTGTGATTGCTTTGGATAGGTTATTGCTTTTATATTGTGCGTAACCCCCAATGATTCAAAGTGCAGGCTGCTATTCAAACAGAAAATAAATAAGTAAAATAAGTTTACAATTTGCTTTATTCAGTTGTCTTTTTCTTTTGTCCAGTAAAATTAATGTCATGAAATGGCTGTGTGCAGGCAGGAATAGGACCCAGACGCAAACAGGACTTTAACTCAAAATACAGCTTTATTCGCTGAATGGGGGAAAAGGTGATACAAAACTAAACTGGGAAATTCATAACTAATCATACGGAGAGGCACACAAGGAAACACAGCCAAGAGGGAGGATGCGACAAAGGACTGAGGGAGACGCATAAACACACAGAAAGATAACAAGGGACGTGAGAGCACACAAAGAGCGCAGCTAGCACGAATAATCACAACTAGAAAGGCCAGGACCAAACACAACATGACCTACACCAGAGGTTCCCAAAGTGTGGGGCCCACCCCCTAGGGGGGGGGGGGGGGCGCGGTATGAAGATAAAAAAGAAGAAGAAGAACTCTTGGCCACTGCTAGCTTAATGGACAGGTTTCTGATGGAGCGCCCACGCAAACGCAAAGCAGGAGATGAAGCATCGGCAAATATGTTTCCAAACCAACTTCCTTCCAAAGACTAGAAAATATGGTGAAGCATATCTTCCCTTTGGCTTCACCTGCACAAGTGCAAAGGTAGGTCTCCCCTGCAGAATTGGTTTTCCCTGTGTCGGGAGCAGCGCTGGGCTCTTCAAATCACGGAGAAACAGTATCCGACATTCTTGATTTTTAGTTCACAAACACTTCTTGTAATAACTAACTACTCCTGACATTTTGGAGATGTTAGCTCTTTATACAGCAAAGTTACAGCGGGATACAAATAATATCAGGCTGATCCTGCCACAATTTGTTCCCTTGGTTCAAATCGCGGACAAACGGTATCCCACAGTTGTTTGTTTTTTAACCCATTTTGAAAAATGTATTGATAGCAATGTTGAATATTATTACACAGGAAAAAAACAACTACACATAAAATAATCACACCGTGACGCCTCTGCCTTTCTAAATGGAGGGACAGTAACTGCGTGTGTATGTGTAAGCGTGTAAAAACTGCAGATAGAGACAAAATACTGTTAATCTTACTATCTTCCATTCTGCAATCTCATGTAAACAATAACATGGTGCACAGCGTGACGTGGAAAAAGGCACATGCCTTTGACATTGCATGACGAACTCTGTATTCCTCGTCCACACGTAAACGCAAAAAAAGGAGTTTTTAAAAATCTCAGTTTTTGGTGATTCGAAACATCGTTTACATGTAGACGAAAGGTCCAAACGCATAGAAACAGCTGCGTTTTCAAAAATACCCGTGTAGGTATGGACGTAGCATAACAGAGTTAGTAGTTACTTGTAATATTACTTGTAATTTATTGCAGTTTACTTGTATTGCTTAATTGTTTACTAAATGTTTGAGGTGTGAAATAAAATGCAATGGAGTTTGAAAACAAAATATTTTTCTTGTAAAACAAAGGGGGGCCTAGCAAAAAACGTTTGGGAACCACTGACCCTACTTACACTGACGGGAGACTATCAAAGTAAAACAGGAAGTGCACAGAGACGCAGACTGGAGAGGGAGAGAGACAGAGGGAGCACGAGGGAGAGCACAGACGTGTCGGGCTGGGGAAACGTGGAATAAAACATGAGGGGAAACAAGAACTCACAGATACGCAGGGGGTAAAGACACGAGGGGAAATAACAGACTGATCAAAAATGCATGAAAATTCAAAACACTGGTAATTAATACAAATGTCAAAATGTAGGGTTTTTTTGTAAGACATTAAAAAAATGACCTATTTACACACAAAAACCAAATATTCACGTACAGAAACATAAAATTATCCTCTCTCCTGAATTCATGTTGCAACCTCAAGCTACTGTTGTGGCAGTCTTTTATGGCTCCACCAAAGGCCTACCCACATATCAGCAGTAACAGGCAAGCAGGAAATGATGAAAAAGATTTATCATTTTTAAAAAAAAGGTAATGTCTCATTAACACATCCCATTTGGCCTGCATGATAATATTTTTTAAGTTTTAATGGCTCTTGATTATTTATGTTGCACTATTGAGAATATTTTTACTTTAATTAAAGTAGAATCTATTCAAGAAAATGTGAAAAAGGTGCCGTGTGTCATTTTATAACACTCTACAATATTAAGATAAAGCTCTATACTAAGCTTTGTACAGATAAAACTAAGTGTAGAGTTTTATTTAGGGCGTTAAACTGATTGTGGCAGTGTGTTATAAGACTGTAAGCACAAACTATAGAAAATACCTGAGGATTTCATGTCAGCAAGGCAAGAGGTACGGACATAGATAATCATATAGCAAGTAGGAATAATTATCCCAAGTGAAACTAACATCCTGTACTTGAGGAGGGAGACATGATTGCTGGCTTCAGTCCTTTAAAAACCATAAGCTGCAAGTTTTGAAAGGCTGCTTCACTGACCCAGGGTCATCTCCATGTGCTGTTAAAGAGCCATAACTCACCATCGGTTATTTCACGTTTATTCCCCACTGTCTGTTTCTAAAAACGCTCGGACCATCAAGGGACGTGGAAAAGTCAGATCTTTCCGAGGAGCTGCATAACAGCGATGGTGGTGCTCTGGCCAAATATGAAGGCTCCACAGATGAGCATCACCACCCCCCAAACCGTGAAGATGACTCTGGAGGACAACAAGTGGTACCAAGTGGTCAACAAATGATGGGACTTACTTTCAGTAACATCCTTCAACCCAATCTTAACTCACTCAATGAAACAGATGGTGCAGCAGCACTGAATTTAGTCTGACCTTTACTCGTGGCACTAAATAAACCAATCATCACGTTTCATTTGACCCTTTTTGTCTTGCTTTACTTGCAGACTGTGCCGTAGGTTGTACTGTTTCTTATGATGCTACAGTGCAAGTGAGAGAAAAATTAGGAGTCAACTAATGGTTCTGTAGCCCTTAGAGTTTTGCCAACTTATCGCACCATTATTAACAGAGCGAGGTCATTACAATTAACAAAAAATCTGAAAATGTTTCTCCAAAAGTTTCATCCTTTTAATATGCATGTGCCAGCCACACATAGGTGGGTTCATAATTGAGTTAGACACAGATACAGCTTGTGGATTTGATTTATTCTGAGGAGGAATCTCTGAATGAGCAAACCAGCTGACAGACAGGTTCACATCCTGAGACCTGCGACTACTATTAAAGAATTCCTTAAAAGGTTGAAACCACAAGATTAAAAGTTTAACTGAAACTTTACATTCCAGCCATACACGCTTAGAGGATTATATTCATGCATTTATCTCTCTTAGTTTCAGCTTTCTGCACGAAAAATTTGTGTAAAAATTGGAAACACGACTATCATCATCTACAGCAACTGTGTCAGAGGATGTTAATCATACTATGAATATTTTATCAAAACAGCAGCTTCAATGTCTCCAGGTCATCAAGTTAAGTTTAGTTGCTCCTATTAAGTCACTATTTCATAAGTTGTCTGACAACAGAAAACAACAAGAAATATGGAGAGCATCAATCCCACCATAAATGTAGAAAACACTGTAGCTGTGTTAAAACACAGTATGAGGGGACACAGAGAGCACAAAGAAAAACGCCTAGTTTTGGCCTTCCTTAGACAAATTTCTGATGCATAATGATGTAACCTATGAGAGCAGTGCTGTGATAATACTTAATAAAGACTGATTTCTAACAATCCCACTAATGAAAGGACTTCATTGAATACACAGGTTCTGTTTGCCCTGCAGCTTGACTCTCAAGTGTGTCTATAGTTGCCCCAACTGAGTCACTGCAGTTTAGTTTCTCTATGTTATCATCAATTTAGCAACTATTTGCCTTACAAAAGGCAACAGGGAGTTAATAAATTATAAAAAGTTAAGTGTGATTTGTACTTTTTACATCAAATTCTCAATGGATATAGCAATATTATCATTTTATGTATGATAAAAATCTGGTACTGTGACAGTCCTGCGTTAGAACTCTTGATTTGCATCTTGATTTTACCAGATGTCATCCCAAATTATTATGGATTTATGAATTAGTCAGCTGAGTTGTCTATATCGCTTCTGACTAGATGTTTGCTAAATTAATCACTTTAGCTTCAGATTCCGATATTTATCCCCATGAGGCAGTTGAGAGTACAGAGAGCGGCACATACAGTGAAATAGAATAAATGCAGGAAAAAGAACAATAATGATCATAATGATATGGTTGTCACACGAAAACAACTTGAGATATAGTGCAAGCGTGAAGATCCAGTCAAACATCCATGCAGGCATTTCAGCTTATTATGCAAACTTCCTTCATTCTTTGTCTCTTCTTTGGATTACCTTCCATCTGTATATTTGCATTACATTATCATTTAAATGAAGTTTTTCCCTCACCTGGTCTTACAGGACACCGGCTCTGACTGCATGGCAAACATCAAACAGAGCCCTGTTCAAACACAAACACAAAGTTTCAACAGCACACGTGAAACATTGGTCATAACACGCATCAATAACCAAGAGCGCTACCTGGGAAGATAAAGATGAAAAATGCGCTGATCCCTCCGATCACACTGATGACCTTGCTGATGTCTGGTACAAACACAGCGATGAGCAGCGTCGCGGTTATCCACAGGACCGTTAGCATGTAGCGGCTGCGGCTTTCAAAGTCTACCGTGACCACGCCGCTGCGTCTCTGTCGCCAGCTCAGCAGCAGGTCCTGGATCACTGATCTGAGGAGCAGAAACAGATGCGTAGCCACACACTGTCTTTTGTAATTGAAACATTGCACCCTGTGAAGACGATTTAGGTGCTCGCAGTTTGTCTCTTTGCCCTCACTTCACGTAAGAGTTTTCAAATGTGAAACTTTGCTTTAACTGAGAATCGCTTCATTTAAATGGAAAAGTGAGCCAAGTTAACAAGATTCAACTGAAGAGTTGCTGACCTGCCGAGCAGCAGGGTGATGGGATAGATGGTGATGATAGAGATGCTAAACAGCAGCCTCGCGATCAGCATTAGGACATCACTGCTAGTGTACGACATTAAAATGTCAGGCCTCGCGTCCTTTCCAAATGTCAGGAACCCATAAACTCCTGCAACAGAGAAGTGTGAAGGTTTACAGTTACCAACAACTGCAGCTTATCTGCAGCCACACAAACAATGATTTATAATCATTTCACGAGTTATTTTTAAAAAAAAATAGATATAAAACTTGGGTAAAGCCACCTTGATGTAACTCATTGCTTTATGAGGTAATGGTTTTAATCCTTGACTTGAGTGTTTTGGGGCATCACCAGCTTTTTTTATGAAACCCAGCGTCACAATGAGTGAACCTGAATGAAATATGAAGGTTGTCCTGTAGAAGCAACTCTGAAGTCACCTTAAAATGCCTAAACAGGCCTATTTGTGGAGTTATTTTGAAGATTATTTTGAAATTAACTTTGTGGTCACTGAAATTCTGTTGATTTTGCAGAGTCACAGGTTTAAAAAAAAAAGGCTTAAAAAGCAGGCTGACTTTGTCCCAAAATAAACTGAAAATTCTCCTCCCATTCAGTCACAAAGGTAGTCAAAACCTATGGCCTACCCTTACTCTATCGTCTTTCTTATTATACATAGAACTACAAATTACAAAATTAATTGAATGTTCAAAAGAGCTTCCAACTAGCAGATAAGATAATCAACCTTTTAAAAAGTGTTTACAAAGGCCATCAACTCTGGTCATTTTCCCATCGCCTTCTAAAGAACTCAACTTCTTTTTTGCAACCGAAAGAGTTGCCCTCTGTTGGCCTCTGTGAGCAGAGTGAGGATTACTGTCAGTTCATATTTTTTGTGTATGCGTATGAGGTTAAAACTTGTACGTGATCACAATTTCTTTCCAGAATTACAGCCAAGCTGAGCCACATTCAGAGCACCTCAGATGGCTGCAACTCCCTGAGCCTGGTTCTGCCGGAGGTTTCTTCCTGTTAAAGGGAGTTTTTCCTTCCCCCTGTTGCCAAAGTGCTTGCTAATAGGGGGAAATATGATTGTTGAGTTTTTCTCTGTATGTATTATTGTAGGGTCTACCTTACAATATAAAGCGGCTTGAGGCGACTGTTGTTGTGATTTGGCGCTGTATAAATAAAACTGAAATTTAAAGCAGTTCTTTTTTTTCATTGGGCTCAACAAGAGTTTAGTACAATACATAGGAACCAAAAATGGAGTATTTGATGAGTAGTTACATATTTCATCGGATGTAATGTATATTAACTGCATAGCTGTATAGTATGTAACTGCAAAACTAAAATAAAGTCCATCATTAGTGAGATAAAATCAGTATTCAAGTAATAAAAAACGTGTATAAGAGTATATAACACATAAGATATGAAATATAACTTGGGTGGGTTGTGGAGAGAGGAAGCAGAGGAAGTCATTTGACCTGTGAGGGAGTAAATGACGAAGCAGAAGATCATGGAGATCACAGAGATGAAGACCCAGTGAGAGAGCCGCTGGTTCTCCAGGCTGCTGTAGATGGCGATGGACGCCTCGTGACACTGAAACCAGCACAAAGATGTGAAATTCAATCACACTTTAAGTATAGAAGGAAACAGTAACAGTGCCCACAGTCAGACAATCCCCTGACACATTGAGCCAAACGCTTCAACCAGGGAATAGTCGCTGGTCAGACTGCATGTCTCTGTAACAGTCTGCGTCGGATTATTCTCCTCTCTTTGGATCTCATAGTTCAGGCTGGTCTTATTATGTCTGATGTTACTGTCAGTGTGATGAACTGAGGTAGGAAATAAAAGAAGGTGCACGGGCTGTGTCAGTGGCACAATAGGGCTGAATTAATCCTTCATAGATTTCAGGATAAAGACTCTTGTCCCTATTTGATCCCAGCTGCCACCGGGCAGTGTAAAATCTCGCTTCCTTTTTCCTTGCCCTCCCTTCCTCTCAGGATCTCATCAGCCCTCTATTCAACCCTTTGCCCTGCAATCACTCACCCTGAGGGAGCGTGTCTATGTGTTTGTTTGAGAGGACATGCATCAATCCTCTCACACTTTCGCCTCCTTTTATTAGATCCCGCCACCAGCCTTCAGGGGTTACCTTGGCAACTTGGGAAGTTACACATCAGTCTGTCCTGCTTGAGACTGACAGAATGATCTTTTTTCCATGCACTCTGCCCTGCTATTAAATATGAAAAGCTCACTCTGCGGCGCTCCCACGGAGCACAGTGAGCGGCAGCTTGCTGACCTTTACACTGAAGTTAAACACACTCTCCTGAGAAGCCTTAAAGATTAAGTGAGAACACCCACTCTCCAATATGAGCCATTATATGCTACATAGAAAGTTCTATATTACATCAAAGAGCAAAAAAACACACAAAACGACTTCTGTGTTTCCAGCCCAATACAATGGACGTGAATGATACGATGTGAGAGTGTATTTAGCCAAATAATCTATACGTTTTGCTGATGTTAAATTTAGCTAGACATTATCAGACATAAACATTTCCTGAGGGAAATATCAGCTTTATACACAGCTGATCCACCTAATGGAGCCCTTGCAGTAGCTTCATTTTATATTCCAAAATCTAAACATCTGGCACGCACTGAGTCAATAACGCTGAGATGTGCATCCTCACATCCTCACTTCTGCTTGCGTCGAGATATTTAACACCCTCCACCTGCCCGTCCACCTGATGCAGTAAGAGCACTGACAAAGCACTGACAGCAGTTTTAAAGCTTCTTTTTGGTACGTGTTGAGCAAACATCGTGCATCTCAGACTTTGTCATAGCTTGGCCCTCTCGCTTGTAATACGCCCCAGTGGCTAAATGGTAAGGCTGCATACCTCATGACCTTGGCGCCTATACTTTCCAAGCACCTTTGGTGTAAATATAGATGGATTTGCTTTGGTTTATTTCTGTAACCTTGTGATTCCCCAAATCTCTGTCATAAACCGATTTGCCAGCTTCTGTGTGAACGTAAAAGTATGTGACTTGTTTTGGCATTTTAATTTTATCTGATGGCTGCAGCAGTGATGCAGAGAGGCTGTCCAGGAAGAGTGAGGGCCATGCCAACTATAGTTTAGCATTATTTTTTAACGATAAAGCTCTATTTTGATTCCTGAGACTTTATGGAAGAAAGAATCAAGACATGGAAGATTTCTATTCTTATCCAACTGCAACTACGGTGCTTCATACACGATAAAATTACAGGATGACTGCTTCAACATTTACACAGTCACATCTGTTTTTGGACAATGGCACATTTTTTTGCCTACATTCACCAAAACAGTTGATTTTAAATGAAACAATCTGTGTAACTGAGCTGCAAACTTTCCGCTTTAATTCAAGGGGTTTAACAATAATTTTCAACTATTTAGGAATTGCAGTCATTTTTATACACAGTCTCCCATCTTCAGAGGCACAAAAGTGATTGGACACATAATTTCAAATAGGGATTGTTTTTAATGCTTGAAGGTTCTTTGCAGTCAATGTGTGCCTGAAGTCGAGAACCCATGGACATCATTAAATGCTGTATTTCCTCTCTTGAGATACTGTCGGTGGCCTCTAATGCAGCTGCCCTTAGTTGCTGCTCATTTTATGGCTCTCTGCCTTCAGTTTTCTGTTCAGTAATTGAACAAAATGTTCTGGTCTAAATTCTTTGTCCTGAGAAACTTGGGTTGATTTTGCACTACCCTTTAAATCTGCCACCCAAGTCGTCAAAGTCCTAAGATATGCTTTGAATCATTTGCTCTGTGAAAAGCCATCTAATCTGTGTTGCAGCATTTGGCTGATCTGAGCAATCAGTATAGTCTTTTTCCACTTCACACTTCATCTAACTTCTAAAAACACTAGTGGCCTGGTTCCACTAGCAGCCATCCATACCCATGCCATAACATTCCTTCCACCATGTTTGATAGATAATCTTATATTGTTCAGATCATGAGCTGTTTCTTTCCTTCTTAATACTTTTCTCTTTCCATTGTTCCAATAGAAGGCAAACTGGGTTTTATTTTAAATAAAATTTTAAATAATTCTATTTTTTTAGCTGTGCCACCTGTTTCAGATGTTTTCTGGTAAAATCTAATCTGCCCTTCGTGTTCTACAGCAAGATGCAAACAATTGCTTTGCATCTTGCTGTAAACCCTCTGTATTCATATTGATGTTTCTTGATTGGAGACTATGATCCACTATGTTGGTATAAAGAGTCAAAATTACAAAAATTGTTATTGCTCCAAAACATATGGACCTAATGCCTTTAATAGCCCCGGCTGCCTCAGTCTCAGTGTCCTCAGCCTTAAAAGCACAAGAACAAAACAACACTTTTCTTGTTATTTTCTGAAAGTGACATGGCAGCTGTGTCTGTATCATTTACAAACATAAGACCCATATTTTAAATTACAGCAAATTATCACATGTCATCTAAACGCATTCTCTCCCATTACGTTGGTTTGTATACATCTACAAATGTCAGCTAAATGAAAACCATTGAGCCATTTATCAAGCTTTTTGATTGTAAGAGCAGTACTTCAGATTTTTTTCCCACTCACATTAAGAGCAAACTTTAACCTTATCTCAAGAAATTTGGCTAAAAAATTAAATTAATTCCTCCACTGTTATTATCTCAGGCAAACAATTCAAATTCTCCTGCAAAACAACAAAACGCTGTACTTAACCCCCCCCCAAAAAAAAAGCTGAAACAGAAACTAACACAGAACACATGACCTGGTGTTTGTTTGCTATCTTTCCAGTACAGCGAGATCATTTATTTGCCAATGTATTTCCACTTTGTTACCTTTATACCTTTTGTTTTTAATTTCCTGTCTTATTATTTATTATTTTTGTAAATGTCCTAATCGTTTTGCAGAGGCAAATGAGTCATGCTTTTTACCATTTATCTCAATGGTTTTGGGGGCAGAGACATCAGAGCCACATATCTAAAGCCTTTATAAATACTGAAGTCCAAAATATCTGCAGTATGACTAAAAGACGTTCAGGTGAAACATTATGAAGACGTGCCTCATTACCTGCTTAGAAATTACTTGCATATTTAGCCACATATATACACTTCCAAGCAGTTTTTCCTGCTGATACATTACGTACTCCTCCACAGACAGCTGTGCTTGCACTGGCCTCCAGCCTTAAGGCAGCACGACGATGCAAACACATGTTATCCAAGTTTTAGATGAACATAAACATCAACATATTTTAAATTGCTGCACTCACTTGGAAACCAAAGCAGATGGTCGGGATGACACTGAACATGGCGGCCCAGGAGTTCATCCTTAAGGAGGAAACACAAGAGTCATTTTCATGGATTCACAAATGCCACCGGAAGAAGAATTAGTCTATTATTGAGGCACCGCTGATAATGCCATGGCATTTAGAGACTCTTCACTCTAGAGTTACTCTGTCAATCACAGGCAAATGGGTGATAAGAGCTGCCGAGTTAAGTCAGTGATCCAGACAGAGCAACACAGGGCTTCAAGTGGACAACTGCGTCTGTCCTAGTGGCCTCAATTCAGACAGATTTATGAGGAAGCTTTACAAAAGCCATATTTCCTGGGTGCAACCTCAATATGTGGACTAGCTCTGGTGATGAAGTATATTTACGACACATAGATGATAACTAAAAGATGAAAACTTCATCATCAAGACTGAAAAGAACATTTAAGAGAAGAGTTAGAATATGTTCATTAGAACTAGACAGGACTGCTGATGCCTACCTAACAGTCAAGAAACCCCTTTCTGCAGCACCCCCTGGTGTTGGGTGCCAGTATCAAAAATGTGTCTGCATAGAGTTCTGTGAAGAGGAACGTTTTCAAAAGAACCTCCATTGGCAGCAATAATTTGAAGTGATTGTTTTCCATATGACTTAATCAGTGTCTCACATTGTTGTGGAGGATTTCTATCCCACTCTTCTTTAAAACAACGCTTCATGGATGGATGAAGTTTATATATATATATATATATATATATATATATATATATATATTATATATATATATATATATATATATATATATATATAAAAAACTTCATCCATCCATCCTTAACAAGGTTACCGGTGGAGCCGGTAGGTTACACTCTGGACAGATCATTTGCACCATTCACACCTATGCCCAATTTAGGATCAACTAAATTAACCTAACCTCACTAAATGCATGTCTTTGGCCAGAGTACCCAAAAAGAACATGCAAACTCCACACAGAAAAACCCAGGACCCTTTTGCTGTGAGGCAGCGGTGTTAACCAGCATGCTACCTGCTACGGTCGCTCACCTCTAGTGGCTCTCCCTTAATGAGAGAGTTTTTTTCTCCCTTTCCTGTGTTCCAGGTCTGCCTCATGAGCTGGAGCTGAGGTGTGTTGCAGCTCGTCAGCCACGACTGCCATCTCAAACCGCCACGCCCCTTCCACGTCCCCCATTTGCCAGAACTGTGAGCTACAGTGGTTTGGGCAGCAGGCGGCAGCTGTGTGTGAATTTAAACTCTGTGTAACTTTGACTTTCTTTCTTTGTTGTGAGTAAAAGTATGCCTTTACAGTGTTAATAGTTAATCACAGTGGAAGCAGGTAGGGGTGCTCTGCCATTTTTGTTTCAATTGTTTTCTCCTGTTTTTAGCTGGACAGGGAGCTCAGCCACTGTATTCTGTTTTTGGCTCGAGAGTTCTTGATGTGTTTTCTTAGTTTGTTTTGTTTTGTTTGTTGTTTTTGGCCTTGGAGACCGTGAAGAAAAGAGCTTCCCTGTGTTCATCTTTACTTTAGTAGTTTTGTGTAATAAATCACGTTTAATGACACCTATTTTTCTTTTTCACTTTGTTACTTTCTTTCTTTTTTTTAACAAAAGTGGTTCCATGGTGTAGTGGATAATGCATTTGCATTATATGTGAAGGATTTAAAATTGTTTACACTAAATATTATCTAAGAGTGAATCAGCACAGTTCTAAAAATAAAAATAAAAAACCAAGCATTGAGCTGGAGAACTGAAAACAAGTGAATCAACCACAGCATTGATAATTCACTGCACTCTCGATGCTGCCAGTCTGTCCGAAGACCAGTCTGAACCTCACTTCACTTACTGTTGTGACCAGTGAAGCAAGCAGATTGTTTGGAGCCCTGGAACCCATTATTTGTAGCCCTCACACACAAACGTACGTACCCATTGGTGTGGAGAGGGCTGTTGTGAACCAGAACAGAAGGCATGGTATGGTATTTGATGATGATGGCTGTGGTCAGGTAGGTCGCAGCCAAAGTACCCAGAACACTGTGAGAGGATGGAGACAAAAAGCCTGCTTCAGACAGAAATCAGACTGAAACATTCAGTCCAACATAAAATGAATGAGAGGCTTACTTGAGGCTGACCAGGGTCATGTTCTCTACTCATTTATCCATATAGAGACATGCTTGACCTGTATGCTCTGAATAAATGAGGATCATAATCCTCTTCTTTAAGAAAAGAAACGCTGCGGCACCGTAAAGCTGAGTAAGCACACCTCCAAAACACTTTAACAAATCTGAACACCAGTTTTGCAGGCTATGCTACTCCTGAGAAACAACCTTTATACTTCACCCACCACACAGAAACCTCAAAATTAGGTCTGCAACTGACTATAACTTACACAACAGCTTATGGCCTGTGAATGGTGATATTAGAAGGGCGCTTGTAATAGGATTTTGTATTAATATTACAGTAAATATGAAACTGTATGCTGAGCCAAGATGTTAAAGTTGTCATGAAGGCTGCCAGCAGGTAAAAGGTCATCGATCTTGATAACATTAATCTCCTCATTACTTATTGGTTTCCTATATCGTGATCATTTTTCCTAATTTGACAGTTTGGCCTTTGGGTGGCAGCACAGTGAAGTTTTTGAAATAATCAAAAAAGAAACTGTGAATGAAAAGTCTCACACAAATAATCATAAAGAAATCAAGTATTTTTCAGTGGGTAGTTCAGGCATTGTGACTAAAATCTTTTGGATACAGCTGGGTGCAGCAGGAAATATGAATGATAAATTTGAACCGTCCATTAGCTGTCATTATCACCTAATTTAAAAAATAATAATAACTACTATAAGTGCCACCACATGTAACACCTGACCTGATGTATTTCTGAATGCTGATCTCTTTGGAGATGGATAATGGCAGGATGAGGAAGAAACAGAGCAGCACCAAAGCGAAGCGCCGGTCCATGTAGAAGTGTTCTGGCATCTCTGACTCCGGAAGATTAGTTACCAGCTCATGCAGGGAGTCGCTCACTGACAGACACAAAACAGCGACATAACAACACACATATATCACAGATGTGAAAGTTAAATGCATTTTTTTTTAAAAACAGAGAAAATGCAAATAAAACTGCTGTCTAATTCATGAACAGCAATCTGCTTCTACCAATTTCCCTGCTTGCATATCTCAGTTTGGTTTTAAAAAAATAAACTTGAAAAAAGATGTTGCTAAATGAAAGTGCTGAAAAGTCCAATTCAAAACAGATCACAGTGGTAAATGTGCCCAAAAACCTAAATCAAAAACACATTCTTGTGCTTCAATCGCTTTCCTTTTTTCTAAAAAAGTAAAATATGTCTAGAAATCCATTTACAAACTATGAATCTGTGGCTCCATAAACTACAGATGGATGGATTTTATAAACCAAGTGTACAGATTTATATATTTTTCCCACTGGCCCTTCAAGAAAGCTGTATTTTAGAGGATATGAATTATGAATCTATTTCAGTGCCTGTAATCTGGACAGAAAGATTATATACAATAGGATCCTATCATTTAATCACTTTAAATCTGCATTTCATCTTAGAGATGACACGAGCTGAGCAAGGCTGCCAAAACTGCAGTTGCTCTGTGGTTTTGAAATACACTGTTGAACATTTATGCATGTACTGTCTATTTGCATCACTCTCTGAATTATTTTCACTCTTCTAACTGACATTTAGTGCATGCTCACTTCTTTGAAGTATCAAACTGAACTGTATGAAAGAGGCAATATCAGGGCTGTAAAATTAATGTAACAATGTAGTACAAAAGTCTGCACTTCCTCTTCCAGCCACTTGAGGCTGCCTCCAAAAGCAAACTGATCCCCCATGTTTCATTTTTATTAGTAACATAAAACAAATCTGTCACTCAACACAGTTCAATCGTATTTATAAATCTCTAGTTCACAACTGTGACATTTGACATTTGCTGAACAACTGACATTAAAATCCACCAGAAATGTGTCGAATCAAACCTGCAACGAGCTGCAGTGGTTTCATGTTGCTGCAACACAGAGCCAACAGATGCATTTCTGTACCACTGTGTCTGCATTTATCCATTCAAACACAACACAACACTGAGAGTTCGAACTAAATACAGTATTCAACACACTCTGAATAGCTCCTGCTGGCAAACAATGTTGGATAACAGGAAAATGATTTTTTTAAAAAATAGTAAATTTAGGAAATGATGAAAGATTGAAAAATAAAAGTGAACATTAACTCACACTTTTCCAGCTGGTCATCCACTATGACCAGAAAGGCCACAGAAATCATGAAGAGGTTGAAGACAAAACAGATCTCACACAGTTGGCCAATGACATGCCCACATATCTTCTTCACCACCGCCTGGTAGGTGCATTGGCCACTAATGGACGAGGAATAGCCCAGGATAATCAGGCCACTAATCAGGAACACGAGGGAAACCTGAGCAGGTGAAGAAAACCAAGACAATAAGACAATGTTAAATCAACTTCCAAGTGTTATTTTGACTGTGTTCTGCTCAATACATTTAAATGACAAAAGCCTAAATTCAGTCAAACTGAATACCCTTTGTTCACGTGCAGCTCTAGGTCCTGAGTCCAAAAGTGCTTGGTAAATAAAAGATCATCAGGAAACATTAAAGTTTTCTTTTTGCCCGTGCACGTTTGGGAAACATCAGTGTTTCACTAACTTCTGATCAGGTCCTCGTGTCTATTTTTAAATGTATTGCATACTCTGCTGATGGATAACATAAGTGAAACTAATACAATTACTAAATGCCTGCGTGGATGCATGTAATTTATTGGCAGTGTGACAAATGTATTTAATGAATGACCCCATGGAAAACTAAGAAATGCACTGGGTGTCACAGCAACTCAATAATGCACTTAGACATGTAATGGTGACATTGTCAAGATGACCTGTTCATGGTCAAACTGAGAAATCAGAATATGGAAGAAAGGTGATTTAAGTGGCTGTAAATACATGGTTGTTAGTGCCAGAGAGGCTGGATTAGTATTTGGATACTGGATTATGCTGATCTACTGGGAGTTTTCCACTCAATCATCTCCAGAGTTTATATAGAACAGTCTGAAAAAGAAAAAATATCCAGTAAGCACCAAGTCTTGATATGAGAAGTCAGAACAGAATGACCAGACTGTTTCAAGTTGATAGGATGGAAACAGTAATTCAAATGACCACTTGTCTTCTATGCAGGAGAGCATCTTTGAATTCATAAAATGTTAAACCTGGAAGCAGAAGACCAGACCAGGTCTCATTCTTGTCAGGTAAGAACAGGAAACTGATATATGATATCTGGGACTCTCCACCATTTGACCTTAGAACTGAAGGAGCTTCTCGGATGAGAGGTGAAACGTCTTCAAGTAACTTAAAGAAGTCCAGACGCTTTTCTTTGCAAGCTCCTTTGACAACAGGGAACTGAGGCTACAGTTTTCCTGTTCTGGGCTCACCAAAACTGGGCATCAGCAGACTCAGAAAATATTGCCTGGTCTGATGAGTCTTGATTTCTGCTGCAACATTTGAAAGGTAGAGTCAGAATTTGGCATAAACAACATCAAAGCATGGCTCCATCATGCGCTGTTCAGGCTGGTGGTGGTGCTGTAATGGTGTGAGGGATATTTTCTTGACACACCTTTGGCTTCTTAGTACCAGATGACCATCAATTTAAATGCCACAGCCTACCTGAGTACTGTTGCCTGATGTCCATCCCTTTATAACTGCTGTGTACCCATCTTGTGATGGCTGCTTCTAGCAGGACAGCGCGCGATATCACAAAACTCAGATGAACCGAAACTGGTTTCTTGAACATGACAGAATATTCACTGTAATCTAAAGACTTCCATAGTCACCCGAACCCAATGCAAATGACAAGTGTACAACAACTGCATGATCGATCATGTAAATGTGGACCAAAACCTGTGAGGTATGTTTCCAGCACCTTGTTGAATTTATGCCACAAAGAATTTAGACACTTCGCAAAGCAAAAAGGACTCCAGCTCCGTCCTAACACGATGTATCTGATAAAGTCTTCAGTCAGTCTATAAACAGTGCTACCAGCTGCAGGTGACTGTGCCTGTGCACACTCTTAACTTTAAGCCTCAACAGTATCCAAATGGGGGATTTGATTTTAACAGTTCAGTTCAACCATCATTACCATGTATGAAGGGGAAATGATCCACAGCAGGGATGTCAAACTCTATACACATAGTGGTCCATATACAGCCCACTTTGATCCAATGAGACTACATGATAAATGTGTAAAATTACAGAAAAAGTTAGTTCATTGCTCAGACTGTCCTGTAATTATAAAATATGACGTTTTTGCAATGGACTGACTAATAACAGAAAAACAGGAACTTTCCTGTTATTTAATTGAGTAATAAAAAATAAAATACAGGTGAAAGTTTGAAATCTATGCACTTCTTTATATTTTCTAAAGCTGTCCAGTGGGCCGGATTCATTCATCTATCATTAGTTAAAGACCAAACTAGAGCTAAAAGTAGAGCAAATATTGGAATTTTGTTAGTCACATATAATTACATGCAAAAAGTTCACTGAATACTAACACATGTTAAATTTTAAGTGTGAGTATTGTGACACCTGTATATTTGTCTTTTTTCTGCCCCTTAGTGGCCAAGAATGAATGGCTGCAGCTTTAAATATGTTTAAAATCTTCACTGAGTTTTATGAGTGCAGAGAGTATCCAGAGAGGGTAAAACAAGAAAAAAAATATAAGTCTTGAACAATCTTTGCTCTGTGGAGTTGCTTTGCTAAACAAATTGCCAAAATTACAGTTTTAGAGTCTGCACATTAACAAGAAAAAGACTTTGTGGGGATTTCTTTACAAACTTTTGGACCACTATAGAGGCCAAGTGAGGAGAACATTTGTATTGAGATAAGAATAAAGTGAATTTTAAAGTCCTGAGGTCAAGTCTAACATGGCCTCTCCTGCCATGTGGAGAAGATCACAGTGTTTTTAATTAATCTCAGAGGGCCCCAGTTTAAAGGAGATAAGATGTATCACTTCCACTCAAAAACCTCCCAGAATCAATAAATATAAAACTGTTATTGCTGATAAATAATCTTTTTTAAAAAAGGTAATTTTGTGTATTAGACAGGACTCAGTGATGCAGGGGGAAAAAAATTCAAAGTGTGAATTTTTGTATAATATGTCTTTCTAAAATGAATAAATACCCACCAGCTCCACGGTGATAGCGCTGTGGATTCCTCCGGCTCTCTCGAAGGCCCAGGGGAAGTTGAGGAGCCCAGCACCCAGAGCGGATTTAAGCATGATGAAAATGGCCCCCACAGAGCCCAGCCGGGGCCCAACGTCCAGAGGTGGCTTGGCCGAGGCTGAAGCCAGAAGACTGATGCTCTCTCTGGCCAATTCCTCCATGCTCCGACTGCCAGGAGACTCACTGCGCGATACTGCGGTGCTCGCAAGTAGACTGCAAACAGGAGCAGGTCACTTGGATGCTGGGCTTGCCTCTCATAGGGGCCCACTGAGCAAGGTGGGCCGGCTGGAGAGCGGGTGGAGGGAGGGGTGGATCTGCTGCTGCTGCCTTCAGGTGCTGCTCAGAAACTTTTTACCTGTCTTTTAACTTAATCCAATGGATCACTTTCATATTGTTGTTGTTGTTATCTTCCCAAGACTTTCCTCTTTGTTTTGGTTTATTTTGTTTAAAAAAAAGGAGAAAAAAAATCGAAATAAAAAGAAGTAATATTTAATCTGCCAAAGGACTTATTTAGAAAGCGTTCAATGTGCAAATTATTTGAAAACAAATGGGGTTTTTTTTTACATTTGTTTTTACCTTGTGTAATAAAAATGACATATTTTCTCAGTCTATATCTTATTCTAAAGGTCCTGGCAATAAAGTAGAAAATGTAGTACGCTATGAAATATGCTCTAACTGAACAGCAATAGTGTGAAATGCCTAACTAACCTTAATAATATGTTCGTAATAAGGGCTAAATGTGGTGTTCCAGTCTGTCTGCATAACTGGTTATGTAGAAAAAAAAGTCAAGTTGAGCTTCTCAATTCAGTAACCTGAATATATACACACAACAACAAACAGCCAGTATGTGTGCGTGGACAGAATTAAAGAAAAGGCTGGAATATCTATGCTAGGGAGCATCTTAGAATGAATCCTGGAGGTTGGGGTCTTTGTGAGGGCTAAATGTCCTTGACTGGTAAAGACAGTGAAAGTCTGGAAACAGAGTGGATGAGGAAGACTAAGACCTGCAGTGTGAACGTAGCCTATGGATCTGGCCTCTCCATTAGTGTTTTCTGCTTGGAGCAGAGGATCAATGGAAGATGACCGTTTTTCTTTGAAAGCTTTCTTGCACGTTCTTTTCTCTAAACATGCCGCCATTGTATCCCCTTTTCCGTCTTCCCTCTCGTTCCCTCTTTTTGATGCTTTTATCTGCTTTTGTTTGCGGTGCCTCATTTAGTAGGTTGTCTGGTCTGGAAGGGGAAGTAAACATGAAGACAGTTCTGAATGGCCTACATATGTCCAGCAGAAATAACATGGGAGCATCAACTTGTAAATTTCATGCACAGGATTGATTCAGGGGTACAAAAGCCAAACCCACTTTGTTTGAACTCATCCCTTCCAAAATTTATATGTAACTTTATTTCACTTGTGAAATTGAGTTTCTTGACTTTTAATTTCATGGATGAAAATGAAAAAGCAACACAAATCAATTTCCTGCGGTGCAGTCACAGGGTAACAGATTGCACCCCGGAGTTTAAAGCCAGCTTTCTGGGAGGGGGGGGAGTAAGAAAGGAGAGAGGCAGAAGCTACAAGCAATTTGTTGATTTGCATGCATAACCCATGTGTTTGGGATTCAGACACTGAGGAAAAGGAAATTGATCTCACAAATTCCTTTGAAAATTAACGAGCCTGCCACCAGGATTGGGCATGGAGATAATGAATGAGCGGAGCTGTGTTAATGGGGGTCCTTTCACAGCTTAGGTATCACAGGCCTGGACAAGCTCCAAGCAGAGAAATGCTACAGATGCAAGAACGCACACAGCACAAACAGGGAAAATGCTACAAAGCAGCTATAAGATGTGAGGAAGAATCATGGCCCTGATTTGACTCACCAGCTACACACATGGGAAATGAATTAGTAACGGATCCTAGTGGGCACATAAAAGTATCAGAAATCGCCTGATTCAAATTTTTAACCAAAGGTTTGGCAGCACATTTTTAGACGTCATCACTGGCTGCTTTCTGATAGCTTCCAGGTGTATGTGATGGGTAATTCAGATGATTTGGTGCATATTTCTTAAACACGCAGGAGGAAAGCTTACATAGAACGTGGCTGTTGAAACGCTGGGAGAGCTGGAGGAGCAGGAGTTTAGATTTCAGCCAGCGTGTCATGCTGGATACTAGTAGGATGTGATAAGGGAAGAACCAATGGATCATTTGGAGAATTCAGCTCAGAGCCACCCCAGTATATGTTTCAACTGCTCGTTCAGAATATAACCCTACAACCTGGTTGACCCAACAGGAAGTCCTGGCATCTGGGAACCTTGGAGGAAACAAGGGCATGTGACCTCCACTCACCACCAGCTTTCCCAAATCTTGTTAGCACGGCAAGCTGGCTCCGGGGTCATTTCCCAGTTTCCCAAGGTTCCGAGGGAGATTAGTTCTTAAGTGGAGCCATCATCCAAGAAGACTGGTGACAGATTCACAGGCTGATCTGGCCTATTAGGCTTGGATAAAGAGCCAAAGCTCAGAGCCCCCAGCACACCGGCATACATCACCTCTGATGAAATCAGCCTGCATCACTGAATTCAGCCCAATACCAATACTAAACCCATGAGTGGTGTGGAATTAGTCCAGTCAATCTGTGATTACTCCTCGGAAAGGAATGCAATTATTTCTTCTCAGCAGTCTGCCTCATGTCACAGGTTTAACCTCCACTTTTTAATCACTCTCTAGCGCTCGTGGTGACTGGAGCCAAAATGTTAGGTACGTAGGTTTGATCAGTTCTTTGTGATACCTGGAGCACAGTGAAGAGAAAATGTGCAAGAAAATGCAATTAATACAAAGACTAAAGCTATGATGGCATTTTTAATGCTGATTAAGCAGCTCAGTTTTATTTTTATTCAAATTAGGATTCGAGTCACCAGGACATCTACGTGGTCTAGCAGTTAAAGGTCAGAGCGGGTAAAGACAGGAACAATATAGTCCCCCAATCTACCTGTGGATGGTGACCTTTTGGCACATCAATAAACCTCTGTCTGCCACCTCCAAATGTTTATTGTTGAATGATCAAACATGCCCCCTACAAAAACCTTCTGGAAGCTTTTATTGATTTTGAGCCATTTCCCCAGGTATTTTGCTTTTAAGAAATTACTTTTCACGTAGGTAGCTTTGTGAGATGTGTGTGTGTGACTGAACCATCCTTGATTTTTGGAATAGAGCATACATTTCAACTGCATCCACAGGATGGAAACAGAAAAAGAAGCAAATGCATGATGCACAGCTGTAACCATTGTACCAGTGGTTACAGGTCCTACTGGGACCTACTGGTCCCAACAGGGAGCAGTGGACATTACATAAAAAAGGCCAAAAAATAAAATAAAATAAGGAAAACCACTAATGGAACCACCAAAAGGTTCAAAAAGGTTGTTCATGGAAACAAAGAAAAGAAACAGCAGTTTGCACACTGCTGATTCTTTGCCTTTATCACATCTAAATATGGATATGTGCATGTATTTTTCCATTTGTTCCCCTGCTAATATAAATGTAAGACTTAAAAATGTTGTAATTGGTGAGCAAATCTGCACCTCACCTCAAAGAACTCTCTTTAAGGTGTCAGGAGTGCTGCTGAGTGCATGACAAGTTTATATGAAGCCTGACTACAGAGTGCTCAGCCATGTCTGATGAACTCCCTGGAGTGGTTGAGGTTAACAACTACAGATTTTTACATTTAAAAAAAATCTGCAAGTTTTGCATTTCAGAAGAGTTGGCTTAGTGGATGCTCCACTGTAGATCATATCTTAGAGACGAATTCCAGCTCTGAAAAAAGAAAGCAATGCAGAAGTCTTAAACCTGCATTCCTTATAATGGCCAGCAGGGAGCAACTGTTCTAGTTGCCTAATTTACAACCTCGGTAAACAGGTTCCTTTTTCTTTTTTTTAAAATATACAACAGATGTTTATTTTGGACATGATGCTACCCATGTGAGTCATAACCTCGGGTAGGCTTTAGGGTGGGCCAACACTAATCGAAATTGCTAGCCCACGACTGCACAGGGTCCTCAGTTTCTTAGATCCACTTCGTAATCCTCGTCCTCTTATTCCAGGCCTCTTTTAGATAGTCTGCTGGCTCGGTGCTATATTGGCCAGTACTAGCATAAACACAACCTGTGACTGAACAGTCAACCGCCAAGCTGTATTGTGGGTAATTCTAAGAATGAAAAATGTTTTTCCATTGACTGACATTGTGCAGTTTCATAGATCAAACTGCTCTAAAAATAAAAAAATAAATAAAAATAAATAATATATGAAATATGCATTATTGAAAAAGAAAAAAAAAAATCAGCAACTAATAAAATTATTAAAGTTAAAAGAAAGAATCGGGTCACTTTGATTATGCTTTTTAATTGATGAGATACAATTCTGTCAATGCTACTGTGCTGACCATGAGATCAGGAAGGATGTCATCAACAGAACGCCCAACCACAGTTCATTCATCATATAAAACCCAAAACAAAACATAAAAAGACTTCTTTTTAACAGATATGGGCAGGACTTATAAAACCATTGACAGAAAACTTAATCACCCTGTGGCTCTCATGCTGAAAGTATCAGCATCACTTCATGTGTCTGTGTGTGCGTTTCTGTTTGGATCTCCACTAACAGCTTTGTATTTGTACGTGTGTCTTGTATTTTAGTAAATGTGTTTGGGCTTGGCAAATTTAATAAATATAAAAGTCAAACACATTTCATTCATAAAGAAATGGGTCAAAGAAGAGAAACTGAAATGTGGACACTATGTCTGCAGGCATTGTTAGGACCATGTGTGTTTTATATCATGTGTAACACTGTTCAATGGTCCACAAATACATAAAAACACCCCCAGCAGCTTCGAACAGACAGGAGGCACAAAAAATTTTTCTGCTTCCAAAAAATTCCTGGAGCAGGTTCACGTCCGCCAGGCTTCAGTCTAAAGACAGGCATATGTCTGCCTCAGCAGTTCATTAAGACTCCATGTAATTCCAAAGCTCCATCAACACAAGTTTTCCTTTTAATAGCATCTCAGTTTTACAGGTAAACCCAGCTGCAGTTCAACAATGCAGCTAAACTGTGGGGTTCTTCCCACTCGTCTGCTGCTGCTGCTGCTGCTGGAGGTACGTGGGCCGTTTGATGCGGGGTTTCCT